AACAACTATTACCTCTACTTCTCAGGAACACATAGTGGGAGATAACCTGGATTTAGACACAGAGCTCCAGGTATGCCCCTTCCAAAGTGCATGGATGATGTGACTCCTTCATGCACTTCCTGGATGGGGAATTAATGAGATTTAGGACTGAATGTTCATGCAATGAAGAGAGGGAAAAGACAAGAGCAATATTTAATATCCAAAGAGTCTGAATCTCAAAGTCTAAAACATGTCCATGGAATAAGCATTAAATACTTGAAATTCATGGAAATGTTGAGATAGAAGAGGCTGTTACCAAACTGGGGAAGAGTTGGAGAGGTTTTGCATTGGCTTTCTGAGGGTTCTTACTTGGGAAAAAGATTTTCTTATTTGTAACCAAACAGCATTGGATTCTTCAATGAGCCTGTTACCCCAGGACCGTGGACATGGCTGTCCCTTGATGATCTTTGCAAGTGTTACAGGTTGAAAGGTACTTTAAGAATTCACTCTTGAATACTCTCCAGTTTCATCCTTTAAGCTCCAAGTTGATGAAACATAAAATAACCATTAAAACAAAACAGAGGGAGACAATGTGATATTCTTAAAGCATTTCTAGCTTTATAATTATTTCATGGATGAGAAAGCCATTATCTGATAGTATCCAGAAATGTGAAAATTATTTGTTTCAGACAAGCAGCCCTGGTCCTGTTATAGGTTTTGATTAAAATGAAAACTTACCACATTTCACTCCTCAAAATATGATAGCTTCATGGGCAATTGATGTCAGCTAGTCCACTGTTGCATCTCTAATTCCAAAGCTTATAATAATATTTTTTTTGGAGTCAAACATGACATAATGCTAAAACTCCTGGAGCTGGCAAAGATGATAAAGTGCTTTGGCTGCAGCAGGTGCTCTGCAAAATCTTTTATTAAAAAGAGTTGCCATGCACATGCTCAGAGTGTGATGGATTGTGGAGAAATTAAGAGTGACACACTGTACATTTACAGCATTAGAATTTTTTCTACTAATTGAAGCAATGGGAATGATCTCCAAATGGAATCTGGCTGGAGCTGGACAAAAATGGCTGCATTCCATAACTCTGCAGAGGACAGATTTTTGACCCTGAGTTTTGGCAAGAATGCTGAATTAAACTATGAGTCGACAGCAAAAGGTAATTGACATGATTTAATTAAAAACCTAACTCTTCAGTTACACCTTGACTTCCATTTCCATTGTGATTCATGGATATTTTCCCTTTCTTTTTAGTATATAATGTGTAATGTCGCTGTCCTGTGACAGATTTCAGAGTGGATGGCTTCTAGTTATCACAAGTGTTCAAGGCATCATGCCAATGGTGATAGCTGTGGTATGTGTGTTGTATGTGTTATATATGTATGTTGTGTCTCTGTAGTACATACATGCATTATGTTGTGTGTCAGGTATATGCATGGTGTGCATGTGTGCATATATTTGGTGTTTGTGCATGTGTTACAGAGTAGTCTTTTTGTACACTGATTAGATATGCTGCTCTCATTGGCTTAATAAAGAGCTAATGGCCATTAGCTAGGCATACAGGGATGAAGAAGGGTGGAGTCATCAGGAGAGGCAGGGAGAAGGAAGATGAACATGTCAGGTTGAAGAAAGATACTGAGCTATGCTGAAGAACTTAGATAAATATGACTTAATTTAAGTTGTAAAAGCTAGTTAGTAACAAGCCTAAGTTATGGGCTGAGCATTTATATTTAATAATAAGTCTTCATGTTGTTTGCCGGGGAGCTGGTGGTACCAATGGAAAAACCTCTCCTACAAATGGTGCTTAACATCCTGGATCACATACATCTACATAACACCTGATAAAGTTTAAAGAAAGAAAATTTTGGAAGACAGAGTCAAATGCAGCTTCCTGGTGACTGAAGTCTCTTGGATTGGCTTGGCATACAGAGGACTGGGCTGGAGACAGCCACCAGTGCATGGCACTGAAACCATGTGCTTAGTTGAGCCACACTGGTGGCTGACATAGCAGTTTAAAATTCATGTCATGGGATCAGAGAATACTATAGATGCTCAGTAAAGACAGATCCAGATGGAAGAGGCCTCTAAACAAGTTGCAGTGTGTTTAAAAATGTACATAGGCTTGAGAAGGAAAGGAGAAAGGGTATAGTTATAAAAAAGAATAGTTTAAAAATAAAGTCTTAGAAAAAGAGTAAAGTAATATAAAGGAAAAAGCTATGTAAAGATGGAAAATACACAGGGAGTCTCGATCCTATATGCTATGTGTTGTCTTTAAATTTTTTGATTGCTTTTTTTTGTTTTTTAAATTTTTTTTATTTTATTTTACAATACTATTCAGCTCTACATAATGGCCACAGATTCCCTTGTTCTCTCCCTTCCCCCCCCCAGCCCACCCCCCATTCCCATCTCCTCCAGATCAAGGTCTCCCCCGAGGACTGGGATCGACTTGATAGACTCAGTCCAGGCAGGTCCAGTCCCCTCCTCCCAGATTGAGCCAAGCGTCCCTGCATAAGTCCCAGGTTTCAAACAACTAACTTATGCAACGAGCCCAGGACCTGGTACCACTGCCTAGATGCCTTTTAATGAACAATAGCTAGGAGACATATTACATTATAGAAATTGCTAAATTAAACCAACCAATATATTTTTAAAGTGTCTTGACTTCAAGATGGAAGTCAAAAGGTGTGTTGCTTTGGGGAAGAGGTTATGCTTTTGTTCCCACAGAAAACAGAAGACTATGGATTCATTCAGGGTTGAAGCAGATCAGGTTTGAATGAGGAATATCCACTGAAAATCCTGGCTACAGACATAAAAGAAAATAACCTAAAAAATTTATAGGACAGATGACATACATTTTACCTGCTCAGACATAAAACAAAAAGTCATCTTTGGCTGACTTGTGTACAATGCACAATTTATACTTGTATTAATACAGATATGTATGTTACCTTTGGAAGTTTATGTATTGTCAGAGCAAGGGGACCAGACACCAATAAAAATGGATGGCCCAGGTGATCTAACATTTCAGACTGCCTTTGTTGCAGTTTCCTCAGAGTTCTGTATCCAGAACAGCTTCAAGGCTGCTGACTGAGATGGTCCAGACTACTCCAGTCAGGACTTGACCATTATCCTGGTTTTTCTCAGGGTCCCCAAAGATTATGGCACCCCCAGACAACAAGAAACAGTCTGGAGAAAACAAGGCCTACATTCTGATGGGATATGGATGTTTGTCATCATTTGAGGAGGCGGTTGTTACAAATTGTTATTGGTCATGGCCAGGAAAAAAGCTAAACAAAAAAATTAGATTCAAGGATCTCTTTCTTAAAAAAAGGGAAGATATAGGAATGATAGAAAAAGGGATAGATTATTGAATCTACTTTAATAAAAAAACATCAACTATTAATCTCAAAATATTTTATGGGTATGCATTTTGGTTTAATCTCCACAGTATATAAAGAACTCAAGAAACTAGACATCAAAATACTGAACAGTCCAATTAAAAATGGGCTAAAGAGCTAAACAGAGAATTCACAAAACAAGAATCCCAAATAACTGAAAGACATTTAAAGAAATGCTCAACATCCTTAATCATCAGAGAAATGCAAATCAAAACGACTCTGAGATACCACCTTACACCTGTTAGAATGGCTAGGATCAAAAACACCAATGACAACCAATGTTGGACAGGATGTGGAGCAAAGGGAACACTCCTCCACTGTTGGTGGGAATGTAAACTTGTACAACCACTGTGGAAATCAATCAGTATGGCGGTTTCTCAGAAAATTAGGAATCGAACTACCTCAAGACCCA